ATCTTCAAATCGAATTTAATTTAAAATAAATCACATAATATTATAGCAAGTGCGTTTTTTTTTTCTTTTTTTTTTTATATATTATTATTCTTTTGGCTAACATAATATGGTATAAAATATAGACAAGGCACTGTAAATAACATAAAACATTATACCTACGTAGGTAGATAGTAGGTACTATTATATTATAATTGATGTTCCTTGACGTGGGTTTTTATTTTATAATTCGATGACTAAAATGAATAATACTATTATTGAATCTAAATTGATATATATATATATATATACTATATATAACATATACTTATGTGTTTTACATCCGCATTAAAAAAAAAAAAAAATGTGTATTTCCATTGTTAAGAATAATTTAAAAATGAATTAAAAACCGAAGTTCAATTTGCAATAAATCTTTTAAAATCACTATTTGTGTAAGACCCTTCTGAAAAATTACAATTCTATATACTTGAAAAAAAGAACCTAACCTCAATCCCCTCACTTTTCTTTCTTAAATTTGATCGCTTTACTACACAAAAATAATACGTAATGTTTAAAAAAAACCGGACGTAATTCGTGCCATGGGTAGACTAATGAAACAGGTATAAAGTTTGCATTGTATAGGATAGGATTAGGGTAAATCAATTCAAACCTTTGCTGGAAGCATGTTATCAATGTAATCAAAACAGATTCTGAACGGAGTAGTATTAGTAATATCGGTCGTGTTTATTCTCCTTGTACCACAGGTAGCCCAGAAATTAACAAAAACAAAATCCATTTATTTATTGACATACGTGTTATTTCGTTGTCAGTTTATTTTTAATTGAATAGAAAGACTATCGGGAATGAAGAATTTTTTTTTTTTAAATAAAGTACCACTGAACGAAAAATTCACATTTTTAAGACAGAATGCGTAAAATTTGAAACGTTTTTACTAACCCAAATAGTGCTTTCTGAGGGGGAAAAAAAACACTCACATCTTACTAAAACTAAAAGCTTCTTCACTACTATATTCAAAATGTAAAATAAATAAATAAGGGAAAAAACATAGCCCGAGGTATTATTATTTATGTGTTTGCTTTTACGACCGAACACTGATTATTCAAAATATCCATGGCACATCATCATAAATAACATCCAAGCATCCAAAGGAGTGTCAACTGTACAAAATATTTTTTCCACAGCGGCTACCGTCACCATTATATCAAATATTATAAATAATAATATCGTATAGATTTCAAATTAAAAGAAAATGTCAACCATTTACCGTTCTTTAATCATGTTTTTTCCCTTTTATTGTCTACACATCCGTATAGAATTATTATCAAAAAGTTAAATTAACACAAATCACGTCATTAGTAAAATCAATCCTTGATCGAAATCTAAAACGTTTACCAATTTCATTAGTTCGTGTTTAGCCGGCACAAACAAAGAAGAAACAGTTTTAAAAGATATAAATTAAACCACGAAACAACCGATGAACTGCGATGGGAATTAGTGTGGAAACGGGGAAAACTCGGTGGAACAGACGGACTCTCGTTTTTCTATAATAATAGGAATATTACAGGTTATTGTATTACTATATTTTCAAATAAACCGGGAAATATCGGATGGTTCAGTTAGAATACTAAATATTCAATAGTTTATAGATATCATAATATTATTATTGGATCTAGTGATAACTCTCGGTGCACGCCTATTGCCTATCATGTACAAAACGTTTTCAATACAGACATAGGTACCTACGTAAGTGAAATTCTTTCTCCGCATGCATAATACGCGCGGTGCATCCGATTACTATAACGTTTCCTTTTTTCCATCCGCGTTATCCGAGTATGTCTCACTCAGGGGACTGTATGAATCATGTATAGGACAACGTTAAAACATATCCGGCTGAGTCAATTTGATGGCTTTTCGTCGCGCGACACTCGGGGCGGATATTCAGGAAGTCATTTGGATTCGAACGTCGCCCGGTCGTTTCCTCTGAAATTTGTTTACTCGCCAGATAGTAATATACGTATAATACCGCGGCAGGAAGACACGAGTCGGCGTACACAAATCTAGGGGAAAAATCGTATATAACATTGGACATAAAATATAGGTAATACACAATGGCGGTGAACTCTATACTATAAGCCGTACTCGACTGTTTATTGGCCGTGTCGATTCGGTCGTTTCGGCGATATGCTGTGTCAGGAAACCGAAATGCTATTTACTCTGTTCTGCGGCGGGGTGACGTTATTAAAATTTGACGTTCGAAGGGAACGGCTATGGGGTGGCAGCGCGGTCTTTATACGGGAGGCCAGCGTTATCTGGAACGGCATCGCGTGAAACGGCAGTACTTAGAACGGAAAGATCTGGAACATGAACGTAAACGGCAAAATCTGGAACAATTTTAATTTTGAAATGTTAACAGGTGAAATCTGTAGAGGGTTAGGTAAAGAAAAAAACTACAGGGAAAATAACCAGAATGGGAAAATTCGGAACAAATTTAATTTTCAAAAATCATTTTTTTTTTTAAAAATATTTCGGAATTACGGCCAGAATTAAACGAGTTCGTATCAAAAATCCGTCTCCATGAAACCAACCGATTTCGATTTCCTGCGTATTGTGCAACGAATATATTGTGATTTTCGAAACGTATATATATATATATGATGTTCTGAATAACGCGTAACCGAACGGCCTGGAGAAAAAAAAATCGTTCCTGATTTGCGCAGTGTTAAAATGTCAAAATTAAAATCGGTCCGGATTTTATCGTTTTTGGGTTTTCGTGCCGGATTACGATGCCGTTTCGGATAATACTATGCGTCCCTTTTAACGCGGGAAAACTCGATTAAATGTAACGCGGTACAATTTACTTTTAATAATAATAAAATATCCGTGTAACATTTTTTTTAACGCGGTAATAAAAATGTAGGTACGTTTAAAATTAATATTATATCTCCTCCGTCGACGGTCTTGTTATAATCACCGTGAATATTACAATATTATTTACGAGTTTATGTGTATACATATACGCGTGTGTGTGCGCGCGCGCGCGCGCGTGTGTGCGCGTATAGTATACGCGATAATTATTATAATATTATCGCTGTCGAATAATATAGACGAACGCGCGCCTACGGACATAACAGAATTATTATTAATAATAATATAATTTATACCGGTTTACCGACGCCAAATTATACCGGAGGACTGATATTAGTGTACTGCCTAGACGTGTACAAATTTCATTTCTGCACCGCGTCGAAACGCGTTAAACGCGTAAATACACACGAAAGTATACAATAACACCGTTTGTTTTTTTTTTTTTTTTTTCTTCTAATATATGCATAATGCACAGTACGTATTGTTTGCTCCGAAACGATATTCGAATCTCCCGGATAAAACATACCGTAACACGTTAAACCGTTAGTGATTATAGTCAGTAGATATTCGACAATAACCCGGCACACCGAAGGCCGCTGGAACATTTTTTCATTTTTTTTTTTTCAAAAAGCCGCGTAGGTATAGTTAAAAAAAAATATATATATATTTACAAAAGCCACGAAAACTATTAGAAATATAAGTTCTTCGTCATCGTTTATCATAAATTCGTAATATTACAATCAATCGATTTTTAACATATTGCATCTTTGCCACGAACCTAAAATATTTTCGCGGTTTTACTTATAATTTACAAGTACTATATTACTATATAACACAATAACTGTACAATTATTGTGTATAGTTACTTATAAATTACAGGTATTACACTATTTTATATTTGGCTGGTTATCAGGTTGTCAGAGCGTAAACGGGCTTTAAAACTATTTTCATCATATTACTATGTAAAAGCCATTATCACATTTCTTGTTCACGCCTATGATCATTCTTACTATAACCATTAATAATGTTGTGGTGGTAATAAACACCAACTGCACGACCCGGATTAAATTCAGTAGGCGGGGGAGGTATGAATTTCAAATTAATTTTCCGTCAAGTTTTTGGGATAGTAAGTTGCTAAATATATGAAGTGTACGACACAAATTAAACTATGAGCGTGTTCCGTTGAATATCCGTTGGAGAAACTAATAAATTTCGAGAGGGATATCACGAGCCAAAAAAATACATAGAACGGGGGGAAATCATTGGATACTTCGATATTTGTAGTGGTAACAACAGTAATGAATTATTGTATTCGTGTAACGCGAAAAGTCGTCGTCTCGTTTCGTCGTTACGGTACAATGGTAAATATCAACGGTTCAATCTTCGTAAAAAAAAAAAAAAAAAAAAGTTAATATATTGAAAATTACATAAATAAGCAAAGGTGTCCGAAACCTAAATCGTCTGCACAGACCACTCGGCCCCTCCACTCGCTTAAATAACGAACACCCGCTGCCACCGTTGCCGATCGACCGATCTATTTCCAGCATGTAGTATTTATATAATATTATAGACGCGTAATACTAATAATAATGATAAACGTCAATTCGGATTCTCGGCAAATCCGGATTATTACTTTGGAATTCGGTCCGGCAGCCGGCGGCGGGTCTCGTGCGGATAAAATATTATAAAAAAAAACCAGAACGTCGTCTTTGTCGTCAATAATATTATAAAATAACAAGTTAATAAAACAGAAACGCTCATGCACACAATATCCACTGTAGCTGGTAAATAACCTCCGGGGAACACATCCAAAAAAAAAAAAAAAAACCCGAATCACTATTATACATGTATGTATACGTAACATTGAAAAATAATAATTGGAATTAAAAAAAAAGTAGGTATAAAAATCATATTTGGCCGTCACTACCGCCAACGCCGATGCCTCCGCCGCCGATAACATTTAAACGTCAAGACTATGGCCTGTCTTATGTGAAATAATTTTCGAAAAACACCACTGGCCGTATTGCCATATACAGATTATGGTTTAACCTTAAATAATTAATAATAACGATGATAATAATAATATATCCTGTTGATTAAAAAAAAAAAAAAAAAAAAAAAAAATGAAAATACCATCTGATCGATTTATGGATGGCCCTCTAGCAAAACCTCGTAAGTCGATTTTACACAAATTTCACAAAACCGCGGTAAAAAATAAAAATTAGAAGAATTAAGAAAAGGTGAGTGAAAAAGGCGCTTGCTTTCAAAATGCAATAGCTGTTGTCGCTGCAGGGGCAAGGAGTAACGCGACGTCCAAAAACCGAGCGGTATTACGGACGAACTCTATGATGGCAAGCGCGGTATTCGTAATGAATTTTCAGTATGACAACCCGTTTTTTAGTGTTGCATGTTTTCATGTCACTTAATTCATGAAAAAATAAATTATTATTCGAGCAGAATGGTAATATAGATTACATAAAAACGATAAGGACAGTGGTACTGCCAGCCATCAAACGAAAATATCCCGTGTATTTCTAAAACAGCGCCCTTTTTTTGAACACAGAAAATCAAAAAATAACATTCTCAATACACCAACTAGACCAAAGTGCTACGAGAAAAGACATATAAAGTTTTTTTATTAAATCAAGACTCCTGTACAAAAAGTTGCTTGCATTAGACATAGAAAAAAACGACTTACGAGGTTTGGTTGGATAGCAGTCGATGTACGAAAAGTATCAGCAGGATTGGATAGGAAATTATAAACGTCCGTAGATACATCCTCTATGTTAATAATTCTAACATTTTAGATTATGAGCGAAACGATGAAGAATATATTGGCTTTAGTGTTTTACAACGAGGTTTATTTAATATTATTTATTTTTTTAAATCTATGAACAACTTTTTTTCTAGCAACTTTGTTCCGATTGTCAAGTTTAACACTTTTTCTGAAAGGAAATCTAACCGGGGTGATACTTTATTTCCCTAGGGGTTTATCTAATAAATGGGAAAACCCGGGAAAATTGAATCAATGTATTATTTTCAAATTTTAAATATAAAGGCCTTTAAAACCATGCACAGAACGAAAATCCACTTAGAATCGTTTTTCGTTAGCCATAATTGCTTACAGATATAAAACATTAAATTTCCCCTCCACCTCATCAACTTCTCACCTACAACATTGGCCCACCCATCGTACGAAGTATGTCTATTCGTATTTTACCGTTGCGGTGTCATCGAAACTTTACAATTATATCATATTATAATTATCGAATGCCCTAAACTTCTCCAGAGATTATCTATATTTTTTAAAATAAACTAAACTTTCTATCGCTGGAAATAATTCAAAAGGTACCTCGCGGAATACGGATGATTATCGTACATTAATAATCTCTATGGCGACGACACCGTTGTCTTTTATTAACAGAATCCATGTAACTTTGTTATTTCAATCATCATAATTATTATATTGTTTTAATATAGAATAACGTACGTAACTCTTAACACGTCCGACTATTGTCTAACTGGTTTTATTCAGATTTTTATAACTTTTCATAACACCTTTTCATTTTTCATTAAGTGTGACTATTTTAAGCATTAGATTGTATAAATTATTAATTAAAGTCATGTGTATCTTTGACAAACTCACTTCACCTATGACGGACAAGGCTCCCAGGTATACTATTTTATATTACATACTCTTAATAGTCTACATGTATTTAATATTTTATCAGATTATTATTATGTCTTTATTATAAATAAAATAAAACTGTCCGTCTGTTTTTTATTAGTGTGTTAAAAATTGTGTTTAAAAAAAAAATGTACAATTATTTAGTTAGTATTAGTTTAAAAATCGCAAGTGATTCTCTGAATAATTGTATGTAGGTGCAAACCATAAAAATTCATTGTTCTTCTTTTTTCTAAAGACGGTTCTGCTGACTTCATTTTTTTTTAAAGCTAAAAGAACATGCAATTTTTTTAAGGTAAAAATATATAGATACATGTTTAACTATTATTGTAGGCACAATTGATTTAGGAATGAATACTTACAGGTAATTATATTGCGATATTAGACCCGTATTAGACCATTAAAAAAAAGTGCTTTGCTAGAAGAACAGACTAAAATTTTGAAAAAATCAAATATATTTTCAATTATATATTAGCGTATATTTCGCATATTTTTTAGATTAATATGTGAAAAATCGAATCATATATACTTACCCATACGTGGATCTGAAAACAAAAAATATAATATACGTATTTACCACGGTAAAATATATTTTTTTTTTTTTATGAGATTTTACTTACGGATGTTTCGACGTATTTTTGTTAAATATCAGTTTTAAACCCAAATCATATTCAGTTGTTATTTGAAAACGTGGTCAGTTTATTACTTACAATAGTAATAACATAATTATTACTTGTTAATATTCATTACCTACTATTGTACATAATTTACGATGTTGTGTATAAAATACAACATATTTTATAAAAAAAAATATAATTCAAGAATAAAAAAATTAATACAGGTTACAAGTGACATTCAATTTGAATGCCTATACATAGGGTACAGTTTTTTTTTAAATTTATCTTTACTGAAAATTACTTATACATAATGTTCCCGAAATATATACTATATGCTTACATTGGAAATTATTTTAATTATCAATATCACTCCAAGAACTTAATATTGATTGTTTCAACTGATATTTGTAAAAAAAAAATACAATAGGTTCGCAAGTTGTTTCGTGTGCCACTGGCGTGACATTAATCTGCCCGTAAGCACGGATATCATTTTTTAGGTTATTTTTTTATTTTCCTAGCTGTTTTCATAATAATTAAGATAAAACACGGAGAAACCCAGAAAAAACCGAAAAATAGGTACAATATTAAACAAATATTACTAAAGAAAATATGTAATTGCCTATCATGTAATTATTTTACCATAATATGACATATATATATATATATATATTGTTGACAAAACTCCGCTCGGCCCTCAGAGTCGTTTTTTTTATCAACAATATTTATTAGTTGCGTACAGAATGACATCAAATTTCACTTCTACCTTCCCAACTTCTCACCTACAACAGTGGCCTACCCAACGTGCGAAGTATGTCCGTATCTCTATTTGTTCGTGTATACATATAGAAGTCGTATAATAAAGAGTGCCGAAAAGTGCATTATTTCAAAACGGTCAAGTCAGCGATACAAAGAATGTCAATAATTTATAAACGCGCGCGAGTTTAAAATAATATATACGAAATCCGAGAGAATGTACAACTTACGGAAAACAATAACTTTTACAATTTGTATTTTCTATGCTCTTCAACTTTTTGCGATGTGGTTGCACTCGTATTAAATAATAATATATTATATTCTACGACTAAAATATGTTACATTTTAATAAAACAATGTTTTTTTTTTTTTTTTTTTGTGCCGTAGGTTTACAGAGTTATATTATTGTTACATTTTACTCGGTCAGTTAAATCATAATTTTTAACTCCCGTGTTAATTTGTTTGTAAAAACCGTTTCGAGTGGACAATAAACGACATTTTCCCAATATAAAACCGAGAACGTTCGCTGTCAGAACAGTCTTGTGATGAATGACAAAGATGAATGATAAAATATTTGGTTAAAGATAAGGTATAATTCCTAGACTATTATTTAGATCAGTGGTGGGCAAAATTTACCGCGGGCCATAAAAAAAAAAATTTTTTTTTGCCAGCCTGAAATTTTAAATTTTCCCTTAAACTTTAGTCATTAGAATTTTAGATATAGGGATATTATTACATATTTAATGACATTTCTATTACATTTACTCAATTATAACTACAATTGTTTGTAGGTGTACACCTACAAACAATTTTTTTAAATGTATTAATTTGTTGATGTGAATTATGAGTTTGTTTCTGTTGACAGAGGACACCAATATTAGATTCTAATTTTGTAGGATTTATCCGGAAAACTGCATGAAAATGTGAATTTGTAATTCGGGATTGAGTTTTATTTTTATCGATTTTCATTGTTGAAAATAGTTGATCACAAATATATGTTGAACCAAGTGTACAACACATATTGGCTGCAAACTTTCGAACATTTGGAAAATTTTCTTTAGACAGATTTTAATAAAACTGAACAAGATTTTCAGAGCTTGAAAAGTTATGAAATGTCGGTTTTAAATAATTATTAGAAACAATATTCGAAATGGGAGAAATTAAATTCTTCAATTTAATTAATTTAGAAATAGAGATAATTTATTTTGGAAAGCTTTTACTGAACCAAACAAAGTACTGACGAGTTTTGCTTTTCCTTGTAATTTTAGATTTAATAAATTCAGATGATATGTTATACATGTTAATATTGCTAAATCTCAAAGCTACTCGTAATTAATTTTACATATTGTTTATTTTTTTCAGTTAAACAATTTTCAATTTCACGTCATAGGGAAAAAAATCGTTTCGAAATTGTTCCTCTACTTAGCCGTCGTACATTACTATGATATAAAACATCTTTATATACTCGGACTCTATTTCTTAAACATGCGATGATTCAATCCATACGATTTCATAAAATTGATAATTTGTACTACAATAGACATACAATTTTCTAAATTTAAAACTTTCCCATGTAGTGCTTGTTGGTGAAAAATGCAGTGAACACAAATTGGTGGAGAAAGCTTTAGTTCAGACATCACATTGAATGTTTGAATTTCTTTTTTTAACGTAATGTAAAATAATTATAGCTACGCAAATAAGTGCAGTAACGTAGAATACTTTCGCGGGCCAGATAATCAATGACGTCGGGCCAGCGTTTGGCCACCACTGATCTGGATAAAGATAAATATTTAAAAACAATTATCTAGATAGAAAAAAAAGATAATTCTCGTTCATTAGGTAGCTATCATACAATAGCAAAGTGTTGTAAATAGTATAACGTGTACCACAGACTTGGTTAATCGTGCATGTCTCGATTTCGCATAAAGTTTATTGCGATGCATTATACTATATAATAAGTGATTTAAAAATCAATTTATTAAACAATATTAATACAAATTGAATAATTTACCTATTATTTCTAATAAATATATTAATCGTGATTTAAAAATATAATACGCATTGACGGTTAAATTGTTTATCTCGGATAACGGCCTCGGATAGCTTGGGGTGGGATTATATTTTACTGGGAAATATTTGCTGGAAAACGAATTTCGTAATTTCGTGGTTTTAATTTTTTTTTTGTTTTTTTTTTTTTGTATTTTGATGAAATAACACTGTCGGTGACTGTCGGGACATTTGACGGCCATCTTAGTTTGCGTGTACCACATTGCTCAGTGACCGTACACATATAGGCCACGTTGTTTTTATACTGATCGAATAACTTCCAAGGACAAAATGTCAAAACAGTTTCTTAAATTTTCTACGAGCAACGGCTTTGGCCATTGCGCGTAATGTAT